TTTTAAGTAATTATAAAAAACAACAACAAAAAAAATTTTAGCAGGCAAATTTGCCTGCATTACGGTTTAAGAGATAAAATTTGACCTTTATATAGTCACACTTTATTATAATCACCAAATATTTGTTTCCGAACTTGGTGATTATATCGAGATCTGACTGTAATTATAAGCTGGGTTTGATTATTGGAACCCCACATTATACGACGCGATATTTAAGTTTTAGGATTTTGACTTGTAATTTTGGCTTTCGTAATTTTGACATAGCTATAGCTAAATTACAAAGCCTTTTTATATTTTGATTTTTATATATATAGTACATATTTAAGTAAAATTAAAAATTTTGTTATAAAGTACTAACCTTTAATACTATATATATAGTTAGAGTAACCAAATTGTTATAAAATTAGTTTAATTGATAATTGCTATTTTGTTAAAAGTGGTTTTCTAGAACTAGATTGCTTATACTAAATTCTTTTTGTTAAAAAGATATGTTAAAAAATATTTTTATTAACTATATAAAACTGTAAGTTACCAAATAGTCAAGTTTTTTTATAGTAAAACTTGACGCAAAAAATTTTCACATTGTGGTATAAGTCAAACTAATATCCACTATATTATTCTAAAGGTATAAATTTAATAAATATTAAAAAAATTCTAAAGTAATTTTTAAAAATTTATTATGGAATAAATTATAGTACCCAGATACTACTTAGGATTTTGATTTACAAGATTTTATGTTCTATAGACTTAATTACCAAATTTTGGTGCCTTTGCTAAAAAGTCATTATCATTTTCAGTAAAGATATTTTTTCTCAGAATGTTTCCCATACTATTTTGTCTTATAACCGGTTTTGAAGTAGGTTTAGATGGTATCAATGGTTTCAGTGACATTGACCTTGTCAAGTTTGGATTCAATTCATAAAAAGGATTGCTGGAAACACTTCTATACTTCCGATTTATGACATTCTTATCCACAACCATCGGTGACTTATCTGTTATTAAATTTTATTTTAGATTGGTAAAATAAAATAAATTAGACAATTGGACTAAGAGATTATTTATAATAATCCCCGATCACTATATCAAGATCACTGGAGGATTAATTAATAATATCCTGACCGTATGTGAATAAGCGCAAACTTCGTTTCCGCTAATTCCCAACGGATCAGGATATTATTATTACAAAGTACCTGTAAAATCTGCCCACCATTGGAATGTTTCTGAGCTTGGTGGAGGTACTAAGAGAAGTCGGAATTCAAATTTTAACAGTATTAGTTCAATTATAAAAAATACGTGTAAGTTAAAAAATAAGCTTTGCTAGAATCATTGTAAATAATACGAACATCCTTCTTTTTTATTATTCTCATCAACATTAATCAAAATACCAACTGCAGGTCCCGTCTCTTTTTTTATTTTATTATCATTAGTAGTGACTATATCATCTTTAAAATCATCCAATAGATTATCAAATTTTCTATCGTAATTTGTTTTTTCTAGCTCGCCATCACCATTAGTTATGAAATTATTGTTTAAATGAATAGTTTTCTTTTCACCGTTGTCTGATATCAAAGATTTCTCACTATTTCCCGACATTATTTTTTGTCTCTCGATATAAAGCTCTCCTTGTAATTTTTTTTTCGCAGCTTCGTCAAATTTAATTACCTGAAAAAAAAAATCAATAATGAGAGATAAATATGAATAAAATATAGGTTTATTTGCTTACCTCTATATCAAATGATGACATGACTACAAAGTTTAATATGAATATAAGTATTTTAAATTCGTTATTGGTTCTATACAAATTTTAACAAAATAATTTACCCGGTCGATGATCAGAAACCCTTAACTCTGCCCTAGAATATCCGATCTGTCGGATCTAAAGAAACAATAAGAGATTTATTAAATACCTAAAAAATAAAACCAAAAAGGTAACAAAGAAGTACATATTTACTAAAGACTAACTTTATTTCCTCGATATAAAATTCTATCTAAAATTAATTAATTAAATTTAAATTAATTTATTAATATTTATTAAATTCCGTTGTATGCCACGGTAACAAAGCTAACCTGTCCACGCAGGTATTCGAGCCTTCTCGCTTAAAAAAATTTTATAAAAATAATGAATACGCGGTGACAGATTCAAAAATAAAAATTTTTGATCGGAAATTACAAATACCTTGTGTCATATTCATCACTTCCATTATCATATTTATACGTAGGAAAAAAAGTGATGGGTCCTTCAATATAATCAGTAAATGCATAACCATAGTTTATTTGGTTTGTCAGCTATAAAAAATAATATTTAAAATGTATTACTTAAAAATAAAATTTTCGTTACCGGAAATTTTGAATCATAAATGATTTATTATTTTACCTGCTCAAATTCCAATAGTTTTTCGAAATTTTCTTTATATATGAGTTCTCGAGCCTAATCAGATAAGATATTTATTGCTTGTACTAAGAGAAGGAGAGGATCTCTTGCAGTATAGATGACACTTATTCTAAATCAATTGATTAATAATACATTTTATTAATGGTGTCACCTATACTGCAAGAGATTCATAAAGAGGTATCATACTCATATATGTATCTATACTTGCTGGCAAAACCGGACAAATCCCAAACCCCCAAAAAACAAATTGTTTTTATAAAAAATTAAATCAACAATGTTTTGTAAATATATTATATATAGCTATAAAATATATATCATTTGTTCAAATAAAGATTATTAAAGTTTTTGAGATATTAGTTTGGGCTTGAGTTTGGGATTTGGGTGCGGACAAGCCCAAACTATAATAGTTTGAGATTTGGATGGCAAGTATATATGTGTCATAAAATCACCTCATCATTTCCTAAATCTATGCGATAGTTAAAATCTCCAA